TTAAAGTAGAATTTATTGATTCATAATTTCGGCTGATAATACAATTGCGATTATCTCGCGATTGGATGATCCAAAATTAATGAATGTTAGATCATTGGATCCTTCAAGTCGCAAGGAATCGAATGGTAGTTGTTTCATACAAATCGGTGCGATATTGACCGAGATCGTACATCTTTTGTTTATTGTTTTTTCTCAATATGAAAAATCTGTGATATGACATCATTTCGACTATTTCGCGACTTTAGCCTTCAATGGTCGAAATGATTTCGACCATTTCAACCATTTCGGATATCCGAAATGATCCATTTCGACTTCATGTATAATCCGTATATTATATAAAAGCTTTATCAAAATCTGGATATGCCAAAATAGGTGAAGTCATTAGATATACCTTGAGTTTTTCAAAAGCATCATATTGAGCCTTAGTCTATTGATAGGGTACATTTTTCTTTAACAGCTGGTGCAATGGTTCAATAATGGCGGAAAATCCTTTAATGAATTTCTGATAATATGAAGCCAAAGCTATGAATCCTCTAAGTTAGGTTAAATCTTAAGGTATCAGGAATTCACTTATTATTTTTAGCTTTTCAGGATTCATTTGAATACCTTGTCCACTTATCATATGATGAAGAAATGGTAATTTTACCTTAAAAAAGAAACATTTTTCAAGACTTAATTTTAAACCGGTGTTTCTTAACCTCAAGAAGACTTGCTCGAGATGTAAAAGGTGTTCGTTGAAGGTCTTAGAGCTAATGTTGATATTATTCACATACATGACTAAATATTACCACAAAACGTCACTTAAGACAGTATCTATTAATCGTTGAAAAGTGGTAGGAGCATTGTATAAGCCAAATGGCATAACAATAAACTTATATATTCCAAATCTCGTTATAAAGGTAGTTTTTTCTCAGTTTTTTTTATCTAACTCGACTTGCCAAAAACCACTAGCAAGATCCAAAGAGGAAAACCAAGTTGAGTCAGATAGTGTTTTCAACATTTCATCTATTCTTAGTAGTGGATAACAATTCTTTTTCGTTACTGTATTTAATTTGCGATAATCGACACATAATCACTTTTTTCATTTTTCTTCTCTACAACAATAACGGAAGATGTCTACTGGCTACTGTAAAGTCTAATCAAACCATTTTCATGTAATAGCTGTATTTCTTTCTGAATAAATCTCTGATTTTGGAAAGAGGTTCAATAGAATCTCTGCTTGATTAGCGCAGCAGTTCTCATGTCGATCGAATGCTTAACAACAGATATTTGTCTAAATTCGTTAGAATTCTAAACAAAAATATCTCTATATTTCTTCATAAATTCCTCAAATTTTTCCTTTTATTTCTTAGTTAGGTCTCCAACTTGGAAACATCCATTATCAATTTCTTTATACTGGTAATAAGACTCTTTAGTAATATTGTTCTTCAAAATTACTTGTTTAACGAGTTCATTTTCAATCTGTTCAGCTTCTTGTAATGTTTCGGGCGAAACTAGTTTCGCCCAATTTGATCTACAAAGTATTTCCAAATTAAGGTTTCGTATAGTTTCGGATATATGAGGCGAAACTCAAAGTTCACTGGGCGAAAAGTTTCGGATTTGATAAAATGGTTTCGCCCGAAACACTAGCTTCTTGTGTTGTTATATACTGTTTGAAGTAATACAACTGTTTTTGCAAAACAGCCTCTTCCTCATATTCCTCATCATTACTTTCAATTATGTGTTTTACTTCTTCATTATTATTATCAGCAGCATTTATTTCATTTTTGATAATTTAATCATGCGGCATTTGATGACATTCTATCATGACAACAATATCCTTATTGTTCTAATATAATTTCAAAAGGCTTTTACGATAGTTTATGATAGCTTGTGCTTCTTTCAGCCAATCATTTTCAACAATAGCAGCATAAGAGTCCACTTCTGTGACAACTGCATCAAAAGGGATCATGTGTTCAAAGATCTTTAAAGAAGCATTTGTAATAGCCTCTTAGGGTCTTCTTTTTTCACTGTTTACGTTAACCATTATTGTTTTAGATGCTTCTGTTATCTCCATATCCAGATCTTTAAGCAACTTTAGGGAAATTATGCATCCAGTAGAACTGGAGTCAATTATTAACAGAATTTTCACATTTTTGATATATGCATCACAATACAATGCCATGGCTTTCTTTTCAGATCTACTTGCATAGTTCAATTCAACATCCTCATTTTTCTCTTTCACAATAATTGGATCTTTCAGCTTCTTTGCTATTGGCTTTCGTATTGCTTTTAATATAGCTTGTCTGAACTTAGGATTCATGGCTATTAACTGTCCATTGGTGATGCTGGAGGGTTGATCGAAAAATTGTTGAGACGTGTAGAGATTAATCATATTATTTATGGGTAGAATCAAAGGTTTTTTCTTTTTACTATTTTAGATTTTGTTTTAATCAGCACATTCTTATTATCTTTTCGTTAATTTTTTAACTGTTATATTAATTTAATATCATTTTCTTTTTTTTTTATCATCCTCATTTCGTTCATATGGAGTTTCTTGAGTGGCTCTGGCTCATGTTTTAGTTGCTGGATAAGTTTCAAACAAGGATAAGTTTGAGAGAACAACTAATAGTTCTGTACCAACACCCTTATGAGTTACACCATTTAGTTTAAATGTTGATATTGCATATTATCTTGCATTAACTGTGACAAAAATTGTAGCAACTGTGATTTTTAAGATTGTTGTCTCCCGCTACTGAAGCAGCATTAATGGTTGGTTGTGTTGGGTGGGTAGGACTTGTTACGTTACTTCCTGTAGTTTGATTGTATTGATAATTTTGGCTATTACTTAGAACGGTAAAACTATTAAGACAATTTCTCTTTATATGTCCTAGCAGCTTGTATAGATAACAAATAAAGTTGGTTATTCTGTTGAGGAGTTATCGAAAGTATGTTGTTTGGTTGAAAATTTGATGATCTATTTATATCGATATTTTAAAGTTTCTTCTTCCAACATTCATCTGCTGGATTTGTTAAGCTAGACTAGTAATCGTTTCATTAAGGGTGTTGGTTTGTGTAGATGGTGTTGTAGTGCTATATTTATTTATATATGCCGCAATGGCATTTTGATCTTGATAGGTGAGTTCGTATGCCTTTAATCGATTAAGTGCAGCATCCCAAGTCTGGTCATTATGAGTTTTCACCATTAGATGTAGCTTGGGCAATAATCCATCAACCAATCTACGAGCTTTCATTGCAGCTGAATATGTAAATGCTGGAGTTTCAATTCTTCTATATAGTTCTTGTAAAGCACATGCATAGGTATTAACAGTCTCATTAGATTGTTAATGTCATCATTGAAACTCTATTGTCCAAATTTCAACCAAGGTTTGTTATCGAAAAGCGGTAAAAAAATTAGCAATAAAATCAGTGTTGTATTATTCCCTGTCTATGCATTAATTCTATTTGCATTATTAGCTGCTAGTGCTTGATTTGTCATCCATCAGGTAGAGGCTGGTCCCTTGAGGTAGGCTGGTACTACTTTTAATTTTCTAGCATTAGCAAATCCATTTGCATTACAGGCTCGTGTGAACTCTTCTAATCATCTAATGGGTCTTGATTTTTTTTGTAATAATTAGGTATATTCATCACACGAGCTTTTCTTTCAAGAGGATTTGCCAATGCATTCGCATGAGCCAGCATTTGGACTTGTAAATTTACAATAGCATTATTTGCATTTAGTGGTCCAGAGAATTGTAAAACTCCTTGCAGAACTTATAAAACTGCCATTAAATTTTGGAAATCAACTGCTTAGTTGTTATTGGATTTTCTTCTCTAAATAATTACTCAAGATTTAGAGGTTCAGTATTAAAAAATAAATTATTAAAATTTGGATCATTTAATATTGCAGAATTATCTAATCCAAAACTATCATCAGACAATACTGGAGATGTGATTTCACTTGTGATGTAAAGAATGGTAAATGGATATAAAAAAATCCTTACGTATTAATAAATATGTTATATAAGGTTTATTGGATTATTATATACGATTCTTCTGAAATTCTATGATATCTTATACTAAATATCAATTTAAAAATAGCGGTTCAGATTTCTTCTATTCCTCTGGTATAGAAAAGTTCTTCGAGATACTGTTGAGTATATCTCGAAAAGTTCTCAGCAGGATATTCAATAGAATAACAATTCCAAAAGTTCTGAAATCAGACTGTTAATGGTAATTCAAAAGGGTAACAATATTTATAGGATCGATCTCGATAGTAAGTGGTTATATTTCTTCAGCGTAGTATTCAGTGATAATTATTGTGTGTAATATTTCATTCGATATGAGCTTAAAATATACAATTAATTAATAACTTCTTTTTAATTTTCTGGCAGAAAGCATCATGTGTTGCACACAATTCGAAATGTTTATAGTTATAAATAATAGAAAAGGTAAGCAGAAGGTTTATATATTTAATTGTCTTTATTAATAACAAATGAAATTTAACATAAATCTACGTAAATAAGGTATTGCCTTTTGCCTTAATCTTTGACGTTCTATATTTCAGATATGTAATTTATTAATATACTTTCATTATATTTACAAATAAAAGAAAAGGGGATATATGCTAATTTTATCTATTATTTTTATCTAGAAATATATGAAACACTTGATATGTTCTACTCAAGCAAAATCTCACCTCTTTTATACTTAAAACCCAGTAAGAACTAATTGTTTAGAGGCTTTTTTGTTTTCAAAACATAATGGCCAGGGGACAATTGGGCCATCAATCTACAAAAGTCTAACTAAATACTAATAAAACTTTAATTTAAACTAAACAAAAATGGGACACAATACCCTGAAACTAATAGAACACGATAGAATAATTATATTTCTTTGTAACACTAGGCAATATAAAAAATGTGAAGAATGTCGTGAATGGAGAAAACATTTTAGAAAAAATCAATGGTTTTGTAATACTTGTATAAAATTATATACTACATGTGATGAATGTTATGAATGGAGAAACCCCTCGATAGAAAATACACAATTTTGTAAAACATATACAAAATGTGATGAATGTCATAAATGAGAAAAGTCATTTGAACAAAATTTCAAGATTTGTCAGCAATGCATTAAAGTATGTAAGAAATGTATTGAATATTTTGAATGGAAAAATGTGTGTCAATTTTGTAAAAAATGTGATGAAAGTTTGAATATGATCGACAAATTTGCAGAATATATAAGAAATGTGATAAATGTTATTTATGGAAAAAACTTTCTGAAGAAAATCTAGAAATTTGTCAATATTGTATTTGGACATATACAAAATGTAATGAATGTTATGAAGGGAAAAACCTTCTTAAAAAATTCAAAGATTTGTCATCAATGTATTGAAACATGTAAGAAATGTGATAAATGTTTAAATTGGAAAATTATTCGTTAAATTTGTCATGAATGTGAGAAATGTCATGTAAAGGAAAAGGGTAAAGCTCTAAAAATTTGCAAAAGATATAAAAAATATATTAAATGTCATTTATGGGGTACACATTCTATAGAAAATTCACAGATTTGTCAAAAATGTATTCTTTATATAAATTGTGATAAATGTAATGAAAGGAGAAAACTATCTAAAAATAATTCAAATATTTATTAGCAATGTATTGAACTGATTAAGAAATGTGATGAATGTAATGAACAGAAAATACTTTCTATTGAATATCCATCAATTTGTCAAATATGTATTAAAATGTATAAGGAATGTAATAAATGTTGTAATTGGAATAAACTATCTAAAAAAGATTCTTGGATTTGTCAATTATGTTATAAATTATACAATTCAAGTGAAAAAATAGTTATTGATGATTTTATTAGATTTACACAAATTAATTGTGACAATCAAACCGTGAAAATGGAATTTATTCTTTATGATCGATTTGAGAAAGTTGAATATATTGCTGAAGGAGGATTTAGTAAAATTTATAAAGCAATTTGGATTGATGGTCCAATTGAATACAGTAAACAAAATTTTAAACGAAAAGGAACTACAAAAGTTGCTCTCAAAAAACTTAATTATTCTAAAAATATTCTAAGGAGTTAAATGAGGTATAATATACTAATTTCTACTTTGTATTCTTTAATATATTTTATTAATGTTTAATTTATAATTCTAGCTAAAGATATATTTAACCAGAATTTAAACTGTGGATTATATAGTTCTTTTCATATAAATGAGTATTATGGAATTACTCTTGATCCTGATACGGAAGATTTAATGTTTATTATGAATTTTTATGAATCATGTGATTTAGGCCTTTATTTGTCAAAAAACTTTTATAATATTGATTGGAGTAATAAGCTAGAAATATTGGATAATATTATAGTAGGGCTTTATCATATTCATAATTCAAATTTTATTCATCGAGATTTACATAGCGGTAATATACTTTATAGTAAACTTTATAGCAAACATCCTGCGGTAATAAGCGATTTAGGAATAAGTAAATCTTCAACTGAATCAACAGATAATGATAATATATATGGAATTATTCCTTATATTGCTCCTGAGATTTTTTTAGGACAAGAGTATACTACAGCTGCAGATATATATAGTTTTGGTATGATAATGTGGGAGTTATTGACGGGTAGAAAGCCATTTTGGGATCAAGATTATGATGCAGATCTTATTATTAAAATATGTGATGATATTCGTCACGAATGCACCTGAGGGTTATATCGAATTAATGCAAAAATGTTGGCATCCTGATCCAAATGAAAGGCCAACAGCTAATTATTTAAAAGATAAAGTTAAGTCTATAATAAATGATGAATGGGAATTATTTGAATTTAATAAAGCAACAGAAATTATTAAGTCAAAAGATATTGGACCTATAACCAATCATTCAAAAGCAATATATAAAAGTAGGCTTATAAGTAATAAGGTAAAATCTATTACTTTAGGATTAGGTGAATATTTTATTTTATAACAATATACGTTTTTGCGAAATCATTCTAATTAGCAAAAAAAATTTTAAAAATTAAGGCAAGAAAAAATCTGAAGGTGAAGAGAAAATATCAACCAAAGATCAAAATCACGGTAATTTATATATATGTTTTTGACTATATTTACTATATTTAATAATTGTATTTAACTATTTAGATTATGTAACAAAAGCGTGTGAATTTGATATATCTTAATACTTTACGTAAAATATAAATATTGAAATGTGACTTTACATTTAACCATATAATTTTATTTCATTTAATTCTTGATTGTAATAAAATACTTAAATAAAAATTTTAAAAATAAAAATTTTCTATTGAATAGCTAATATAATAATATAAAAAAAATTATCGATGAATTTTACGAATAGAATCATGCCTGCCGTCAAAATCTTATGCTAATTTCAGTATATTTATTGATATCATATAATATTGTTGTTCATTAATCCAGAACTAATGTAAATGATCTTTATTATTATAATGTAATTTAAATTTTAGCAAATTTACAAATTATATGAATTTATAAGAATTTTAAAAAAAATATTTTACTACAATTTGAAATTTTAACGAAGAAAATCAAAAATAAAAAAAAAATAAAAATAAAAAATGAAAATTTATCTTTGTATTTTATTTAAATTATTTTTCAGAGTTATTTTTTTTTTGAATATTTTGAATATTTAAATTTTTCAAAATTTTTTCGATCACTAATGAAATATTTAATATATGGTATAAAAACCATACGTTCCATTAGAAAACATCCCATACGTGATTCTATATACCTTACAAAATTAATTGAATTAATCCTTAAATTACGTAAAAAAAAAACTTTTTTAGAACAAATTTTATTTTCTTGAACTTACTACATTATTCTTGGGCAATTATTATGGTTGGGTCAAATTTGAAATAATTAATTCTTTGATATTTTTAAATATCAATGATTTCTTTATATATTTCCTTGTACAATTTTTTTAAGTAAAGTATGGTGCTACGGATCGTTCCTGGATTTGGCAAGTGCGCATCAAAATCTTTTTATAAACCCGTATTTTGATTATAAATGTTTCTATTTCGAAAATTGAGATTTACATTTTGCATTCTCCATCATAAATAAAATGAGTCTGACAAAATATGATGGAAATATTCATCCGGATGAATGGATAAATAATATTCACAATTATTTTATGTTGAATAATGGTAAGTATGGATACGATATTAACATGTTAGTGGATACTACTATTAACATCCCAACTAGAAATTATGGCATTGAAGAAATTCGTAAGGCACTTAAAGAGGATGTTTCGTTTTCAATATTCAAAAACGCAAACAAAAGAAAATTGCAATTATTAAAATATATTCCCGAAAGAGAAGGCGGTGATACTTTAAAATTTATTTCAAATTTTCGTAAAATGTGTTATAATGCTGAAATTGATTTGGAAGGGCAAAAGAAATACCTTTACCAATCACTTCCAAATAGCTATTTTTTGACCGAATTTTTTAAGAGAAAAGAAGCCTTTAATTCTACGGATGAATTGATCAAGGGATTTGAGGAAATCATTATAGATGAATCGAATTTAATTAGGAATGAATCTATCATAGCTTTAAAGCATGTTGTTACAGGAAGATACTTGAGTTCAATTGAAGGTATTTGTTATGCGACTGGGAGCAAAAGTCAAGCGGTATGTCGTTTATAACAATAATTTTATCATTACGATGCAATTTTACTTAATTAACTTTCATTATTACAAATCTAGGTTTTTGTAGGTAATTTAGAGCTTGAACCGAATGGGATGTGGATAATCAAAATTCATAATCCGCATTTTACTAATAAAGAACTAGCTTCTTATACTAATAATACTACGATAAGTTTGCAACACAAAAGTTCTAATAAGTTTCTTGGAATTCATGCTTTTAAATCGCAAGGCGGTTTATACCTCGGTAGCCCCGCTCCTAACTCTCCATCAACCGGGCACACAGAAGGTTTGTCATTAATTTTTTTTGTTATTATTATTAAAAAAATATTTATCATAATTTATTCTTAGTTTGTGTTGGTTGTGAAGATGCAAGATGGAGTTTTGGTAAAAGTAAATTAGAAAATAATCAAGGATATTTAAAACCAAACGATATTATTAACCTTAGTACTACTGTGCAAAAACAAAAAGGATGTATTTTACAATCTTTACGTAGTCATGATTTTCAGTTTAATGTAGAAGACGATTCTTTTCAAGAAGTTGTTTGTCACAACGAAAGATTAGGCGGAAATGATGAAGTACGTCAATATTAATTTTTCTTTTTTTATAGTGTGCATATCGATATTCAAAAGTACTTCTCTTTCTCTTTATAGTGGTGCATTGAGCTTATCAAGCAGTGTTAATTTTGTAAAATGACAACCATTCTTCATTTTTATTATTATTTACAACTACAGGTTAATACTTCGTTTTAAGATCCTTAAATAAACTATAATAAAATTTTCGTTTCGTTTTTAAAGCATTCCATTGAGCATATAATTTGAAATTCGAAACTAATGTCGTTATTCGAATTTGACTATTTGAATTAATGTCAAAATTAGATGCTGTATTTTAATCGCTCTTACAGGTAAATACCTCAAAAAGAGATAAATTCTAGAATAAATAAACGCTTTAAATAACAAAGATGGATTTTTGGATCAAATGCTTTTTACAATAACGCATCAAAACTTCTTACTCAAACCTTTTAAATTCACTAATTGAATTCGACTTCGATCAAATAAGCTTCACATAATTATTCACGCGGTTCATTTAAATGGAAAGTTCGTCGCCTATCAAACTTTGTATTGGTTTTTATAAATTTTCATATTAAAAAAAAATTTTTTTAATTTTAATTTTTTCACTTTTTGAAAAAAAAATCAAATCAAAAATACTTGGTATACCCATTGCCCAAACATTGCTGACACAACTTTGAATCTCACCACCACTACCCAAGAATAAAACAAATAAACGATTATTCGTAAATCATTTATATATTATAATAGCATATTATAATAGCGAATTAAATAGATTATTTTTTTTGGAATCTTGATAATGAATGTGGCAGATACAGCCAACTTCGATCCTTCTTTACTTGCGATTTCATCGACAAGGTTTTGTACCACAAGAATGGACTCGCAATGAAATTTACGCCATGAATAAGTACCAAACCTACTACCCAGCTTGTCTTAACATTGCTCGATTTTTTTAATTGCTTTGCTCAAGTTTTTTCAAGACAATATTTACGCTATTTTCTTCAGTTTTAAAGTTGGCAAGAATTTCCTGATGAAGTAACTTGATTCCTATGGGCAACATTAGCTAAATCAACGATACATTCCATGAAATCCTCATATAAGTTTCAACGAATTCTGTAATATTTTCAACAAATACATTCACGGTAAAATCATTTTACGAAGAAATTGACGAATTCCTGAACGGAACATTAGAAACAAGGAAGGGACAATACAAGCAATTTTAAGGTGTTTAGCAGTATTAGATCATACAAGTTAAGATTCTATTACAGTACGGTCAGACATGGTGTTATTATACGAAGATTCTTGAAATAAATGAATCAAATTATGAGATCAAATGAGAGCTCTAAATCTGGGATGAAAGAAAAAACTATGATGAAAACAGTCATTTAATCGATTTTTTAAAGAAAGAATTAATGAAATTCTGAAATTCTATATGTTTAGAGAAGTAATTACAAATATCTTTTTTTATTTAATGGATCAAACGATATCAAAATTTATGTTTAATTCCAACTATCATTATCTCAAACTTTCAGAAAGATACTTATTAATGGTAATTTATTATGAAAAAAAATGTTTTTTCTTCAAATCACCCCTTTGTTAAGTTATTTATAATTACTTAATTAAACTCACAATTATTTTATTTTTATTTAATTTGAAATACTTCATAGTCTTCCACACGAAATCTATATTCAACATCTCTTATCGGATTTTCATAATGATAACCTCTACAAAAAACATTTTCGAAATTTTTATCTGGATCACCAAAAATCTTAATGTCTTCACCAAATCCTGGACCATCCCAATGAGCTGCTCGAATTGCATGATCCTTGCACCCATCTTTTATTTTACTATAGATGACATCTTTTATGCCAAAAGTTTTACTTTTAAAAGAAAATATAAAGCTCTTGTCGGTACTGAGCCATTCATCATTAGATGTCCATTTTAAAGGATTAAACCCGCCAATAATTTCATCAGTTCCTTTAATTTTTATAAAGGAGACGGTGTTTTCTTTACCATCACATAACTCATGAAACTTTTTAGGAGTAAATCCATCTCTACTTCCACGTAATATCAAGTTGAATTCATAAGGAAAGTTTAACTTTTCTCTGACAGGAAACGTTCTTTCGTGCGTTATCGTTACGTTATCAATCCATTTTGAAATCAATGAAACTATATCAATATTAATTATTTTCGTATCAAATTTTCCATAATTTCTAGGAGTCAAACAATTATTAGGAAGCTTGCCATCAGGATCTAAAAAGTATATTATTAAATCGTCATAAATAACAGGATCGAGTAACTTCTTGTAAGGACGACATTTTCCTAAAAATACTTTAGAAGATAAACTAAAAAATCTAACATGAGGCAAAACATCCTTCAATGTGTTCTCCATTAATTTAAAATCATTATCATTCCAATTTGAAGGATCTTGCGATAAAGTGGGATTTCTCGCGAGTCCCCATTTTAATACGGATGATCAAATATCAAACTCTTCCATTTGGAAATCACTTCTTTTCAATAATGGTATTAATGTTCTTTCGTCAAGGGAGGTAAAATCTAATGAATCGAATACTTTGTCGGGATATGATGACATGATATTTAGGCAATATTGTTGCAATTCCATAAAACAAACCGATTTTAAACTTGCACTGTGAACCAATTCAAAATTTTGATCGATCCATTCGGATTTTCCTCAATCAAATAGTTTTGTAAAAAATCCACTAATTCTTGTAAATGTTATTATTTTTATTTATTCCTAACAACTAAATTTTTATCGTTATCGTGATCATTTAATGAAATGAATCCGCCATAAATATAACTAGTGAAATTAAAAAATTTTTTTTTTATACATTAAAAAAATCCTTTTCTTTTAAAAAAAAAAAAAAGAAGTAAAGTCGATATTTTGAATTTACCTCAAAATAATTTGAAAGATATCCGGTGAAATGTTTGAAAATTTCATATGAAATATATCACCCTTTTTGGATAAATTTCGTTTAAAATATGGAGAACGATAACTCAAAATAATAGCATGAGCACGAAAACTTTGCACATTTATGTCTTCTACAACTTCAAATATGACATCATAATATTCATCATCATCATCTAAGATTTCAATATAATTCTGACTTAATTTCGAAAAAAATTGCTTAGACATTCTTGTAAAAAACAAAAGGAACAAAAAAAAAAACGGGTCTATTAATGCATGGACTTTTTTTTTACTGTTTATCTATCGGTTGAAAATTTTTCCTCAAAACAATCTTAACTTTTTTGTGTATGAGAAAAGCCCAATCGAGGAAATGAATAAACAAAGATTACAAGTCCAGCACAACGTAGATAATCTTCATTTAAGTATATTTCGTTTTGGTCACCTACCGATATTGAATCTATTGAAATACGTCATCGAACTAACTAAATTTGCCATTGTAAAAAATATTTTTTATGACATCATAATATATTCGTTTATTTGGGGGTTTTATTAATTTCTATTTTGTAATAATTTCTAACTAGGTTTGTATTCAGTTCCATTATCCAAAAGTAGAAATACTTACTACAGCGGTCACTTAAGATTGGATCTAGTTTATATTGGAAAATTTTTTGTTACATATTTTTTTTTTTTTGGAATTTTGGCTACTTTTTTTATTGAACTTGTACGGCCTTTCGAGATAATGCAGGATACCCGACTTTTAATCTTATCAAATATTTTCAATCATATTTTATGTATTTAACTAGCCAGTATTTTTTACCCCAAGGTGTTCTTCCCATGGCTTAGTTATAGATTTCTTGGCTTGACTGACGATAAGGCTTATTGATCATTTTGTTATGTCAAAAACAGTCATTTTGACATATATATTCCATCATATCGAAGTGTTCAAAATCATCGAAAAGTCAAAAAACTCAATTCCAACTGATATGTCAGAATTATCAGCAAATTGATCATCAGGACCAATTTTAGGCATAGTCAATTTCCAAGAGTAACACAAGAAAAATGCGAAATACTACATTATAGTAAATATAATTTTACAGCTGTAATATGTGGAAGCTATGCTATTAAAAATGTGTGACAACAAAAAATAAGATTTTTGATTCATATTATAATATATTAAATGAATTTTATTTGGTTAAATTTTGAGGCTATTAGCTCATTAATATAACAAGTAATTTGAAAGGCAAAAATGCTTAAATTTCTTTGTAATTTTAATCAAATATCTAAAATTAGATTTATAAAAATGATTGATGCAATGATTGATAAATGATTGACATATATAAAAATGCTTCAGAGTATGGTTTTAATAGCAAAATCTTAAAAATCTCTCGTGTTATAAAATTGATATAACAATATTTTTAATTAGACAGATTTAATAGCAAAATTTTAGATATTTTATAGTTTCATTATTTTTAAAATAATTTAATATTTGTAAAAATAATTATTATAATAAATATTATATAAAATTAAAGTATCACCTTATTATTGATTAGACTCAAATTTATTTTTTAGTGCAATTTTTTATTAGCTAAGAATATTTATTGTGACGTATCTATTTTTGATTATCAATTACTCAAAATCAATTTAATCAATTTACTAAGATTGAATAGAATCAAAATTTATACATTAGGAAAACTATCAGATTATTTTTTTTTTCAAACAGTTTTTAGTAAGTTATCATATTAAAAGTTGTTTTTTGACTAATGGAAAGTAATAATATAGGTGCTGTAGCAGGATAATTTTGGCTAATATTTGCTTACAAATCTGATTTCAATTAAATGTTTGGGTTGATCATCTAGTAGTTCACTTTATCAATTAAATGTCCTTGTTTAATATCTTACCGATCCTGATGTTAACTTTATATTCTTTGATAACCAATGTAAAATATTATAGATTCAGATATCAATTTTATTTCTAGTGTAATTGGCAACTTTATTGATATGATCATCTTTGCTGATCAATTTTGTCAACTTTATTTCCTAGATGATGTTATTTTATTTTATAGCTTAGTTTAGTTCATTTTTATAATTATCAAATATGTATAAATATTACTGTATTTTTATTAAATCTTAATACCTTCGGGTAAAGAACTTACTTTTATTATAATATTAATAAGGATATAATTAATCAAGTAAAAACTTATCCTTTGCAACCCTATAACTTGTATATAAATATTATTGTTTATTAACTTTACGTAATTTTGTATTAATTTGTTGTATTAACTTAAGGTATAGTCACTAAAACAAAATTTCTGAAATATCCAAAAATTACTTGTGTTTAATTGATAATAATTTTTGATATTTACTACAAATCTTTGCTATAATTCCTTGAGCTTAGACTTAGCATTATTTATTTTTTGTAAATTTTATTTAAGTTACAAATAGGACATAATAGTGCATATTTGAGATAAAGTGTAATATATTTTGTATTATGATAGATTTTCTTAAAAAAAAAATTCTGAGTTATTAAAAATTAGCACTCTAATTGTTATAAGAATAATGAAATGTTTTCAAAAGTAAAGATGCCAAAAATCTGAATAATGAAAAGGAAGATAAAATTATGGGTATTGAAATAGAATAGAATATTAAATAAAGATGGTTCTCATAATTATTTTCAAATTTTAATTGAGTTGCAATTTAATTTGTAATAAGTTGCAACTCAATTGCGCTATTTTTTTTAATTATGATGCCATCTTTAATATTGAAGATGAAAGTGAAATTAAAGAATCTGAAGATAAATACATAGAAATCTCATTTAAAATTAGTAATTAGGAGAGAGGTAAAAATAATGCAGCAAAATGGAAACTATTTATTAAACTAATGAGTATTTGAGTTGTATCAATTGTAAGATATCATTTTACGTAACATTTCATGATGATATTTGTGTAATATTATTTGCATAATGTTAGTTCACACAATATTTCATGATTATAAATAATTTATTAATTATAATTTTATTTTAACATGCTAATCCTTCTAATCATTTCTCTAACAATTTTATCTAAATAGTAATCTAAATGTATTTCTAAAAAAAAATTATGTTTTAACAAATACAATTATATAACATAATATATAAATTAAAAATTTTTAACTTTATATTAGATCAATTAAAAATCTTTCTTTTACTAGCGTGCCTTTTCAATGAGTTTATATTCTACTTATTAATTTCTTCTATTTCATCTACTTCTGCATCATCATTTTATCAATATCATTGTTATCATTATTATTTATTTCTCTAGAATTTTTAGTAAAATGATTAGAACTAGTTATTCTTGAGGCTTAATTTGATTTGGTATTAGATTTCTAAGTTTTGGGTAGATTTGCTGAAATGGTCAAGTTATGACATGTTAAACATAAACTATATTTAAATTTTTGAGAAAAATTCAATTCATATGAATAAATTCTATTAGTTATTTAAATCATACATTAGCTTTTTCTTTTTTTTTGTATTTCTTATTTATTTATTTAAATCACATTGACAGTTTTTAAAAAATAATAGTTTATTATAATTCAAACATATTTAACACAAAAAATAAGTGTTAATTTGTTACATTCTTGAGTAGGATAGGCATTATGACAAATAAAATAAACGTGATACAAAAGTTTTTTGAATAACAAACCTAGTAGTATCAGCTGTTAGAGTCACTGAGTCAACTCTGCAAAAATCATTTAGAGTGACTTCGGTATTTTCAATGACTGAGCTATGACTGAGTAACTATTCCAAATTTGATATAAAATCAGAATATTATGAAATTTTTAATTAAATAAAACTCAAATTTTAAGTCAAATGGGATACTTGTCAATATTATTTATGATAAAACTTATAATTATCTATTTTCTTGCAACATTAATTAAATTTTAAAAATTTAATAAATATTAAGATATTAATAATACAATTATGGTTGCTAATTTCAAATGAGAGTCTTGACGGCTAAGTTGACTCTAACGACTGCCTGAGTTGACTCCAGAATTTATCAATGACTGGTACTACTAACAAACACTATTTTATAAATTAATAATAACAAAATTTCTACTTGAATTATTTAATGACTAAACAGATAATACTATAGAAAGTAGTTAATTTTTTTTCTGGCTAATTTTACTATACTTAAAATTAAAAAGAAAATAATTTTTTTCTTTAACTAAATTATTAATTTATCTCTATTGCACTTTTCGCAATAACTTATTTGATTTAAAAATATTTAATTATTAGAATTATTATTCATAAAAATGGAAAAATGTTTCACCTTATTCAATAGATCTTAAAATAAAGTGACAAAATCTTTGTTAAGTAATTTTCATGTGTCTTAAATATGAAATGATATAGCATATACTTCCATGATTGATTTATGAATGACGTTTTTCCAAATTCCTGAACTATTAATTAAAATTTCAAAAAAATATTTAATATGATATTTCATACTCTCTTGTTTCTTCAATTTAAATAAACGTTATAAAAAATTTGAGAATTTGCTATTAATTCTCATGATCATATGATATAATCTAATTTTAATAGTAAGCGACCGAGCAAGATGGATTTAAAGCATTTCCCATAAGTGAAAAATCTTTTACCAAATCATTATTAAAATCAACCCCTGTTTTTATCCAATTATTAAATTCATTATCCCATCATAATTTAATGATTTTTTTATACTGCATACTGTATATATTTTATTAATCGAATCTAACAAATTTTTTATATAAATTTTAATTCTAGTTCAAATTATCGATTATCTCATTATTACAAGAATTTGTAATGCTATTAATATCCTGATGAAATGAATTTTATTCATTATAATCATTTAATAATCATTGATATCGAATATAATTTGAGCAATAAAAAGAAAATACCCATCTCTACTTCCTTTCAAAATTATTTTATAAAGACCACCCATATTTTCATCTCTAATTATTACTCCGCATCACATTAATGTTTTCTATCCAACTATATACATCACAAAATTAAAATTCAGTCCATAATACAATATCACTTCGATTAATAATATTAATTACTGATAATTTCCATTATTACAAGATCAAATAAGTTAGTCCATCGAATGAAATAAGAACACATTAGTAAAGTATATTAAAAAACCAAAACAACATCAATCAATAAAGCAAACCCTTTCACAAATAATATAATTTATTATTCATCTTTTAGTATCTCTATAAATATTCATTCATTATCCACAATTCAGTCGATAATATTTGCTAGAAAATTTCACTTCCATTCCAATAATACACATACTTATTCTGAACTTCCATTATATAAGTTATCAAGTCCAGTAATGCAATGATATACGTTAGTAAAATACTCAAAAAAATTACAATAATAAAATTCAAGATAAAGCAAACCTATTCCAAAAAATTTCGTTAATCATCCTTGATATCCCTATATTAACACATAATTCATTAATACACATTAAATATAAAATGTGCATCCAACCAAATTTACCATACAATATATCTCTCGTATGTAAATATTATCATTATTACACGTTCCAATATATTATCCAGTTCAGTGAATGCAATTATAAATGTTAGTAAAGCATTTATAAAAAATTAAAACATAATAAAATAAGATAAAGCAAACCCATTCACAAATACTTTCAGTAATCATCTCGCCTCATTATTACATATTAATTATTAATTATTCAGCCAAACAGTATTTACTTTCTATTATCGCATGATCCAACAAGTTAAATAATCATCTTTAATGTATAATAAACCAAAAATAATTAAGTTAAAGTAAACCTATTCACAATAAGTTTTGTCAACCATCCTTATACCCTTCATCAACTCACGATCCATTATTATAACTATTAATTATCAATCACAACCATCTTTACTATATAATCTCTCTTGTATGTAAATGTCAATCAATATATTTCCATTAATACACACATTCCAATATGTTATCCAGCAAATGTAAGTATAAGTATTAGATTAAAATTAATAAAAAAAAGCATTAAAAACAATAAAAAAGCAAACTAAAGTTTTGTCAATCATTGATATCCTCATTCAAATAAAATTTACAGTTACTGTAAGTCATAGCAAACCCATTAACAGAATTTTGTCAATCATCTTGACATCGTATCGCTTTATAATATCACAATCTATTATTACATATTAACTATACATTTTCCATCCCAACCAAATTTACTACACAACATCATCACTCGTAAGTAAATATAATTGATATATACACGTTCCAAAATGTTATTCAGTCTGATAAATGCAATTATACGTGTTAATAAAGCAAATATAAAAAATTGAATAAAAATTAAAATAAAGTTAACCTATTCCACAAAATATATTGCTTGATATCTCTGCATTCTCGATTCACGATCCATAATTCAGTCCATAAACTTACTATTCAATTTTTCCATTTTCAAATGTTTCAAAATTTTATCCAGTCCGGTAAATGACATAATACGTGTTAGTAAATCATTAAATTTAAACAAAAAATTCAAAACATAACAAAATAGTATAGAAAATAATATTTCGTTAATCTCTTAACCTATTACTATATTAGTCGTTAATTATACAGTACAACATTTATAATAAATTCACATCTTCATCTCCAGTAATTGATCCAAATGGTTGTACATTCTAGGAAAGGTTGAACGCGTGATAAAAAGAAAAAAGCTAAATTCGATCCACAGAAATTTTCATAATAAATATGTTATTTATCTTCAAAATCTCTATTATTTTGGAAATCCAGTCAAATTTAGTTACATTTATATATTTTATCTCGTCGTTATACTGTAAGCCACTTATCAATTCATTTTTGTTAAAAACAAATGCGTTTAAAGAATATTAAAAAAAAAACTAAAAAAAACTATATGGCAAAGCAATAAAGTATGTCTATTTCGTCAATTATACTTCCATTTAAAATACCTAATCAAGAAACAATACAATTATCCTTGTGATCTAAGGAGGGAAAGCAAGTGAAAGAAAAAAAGGCTACTTCACTATTTTATAAACAATAAGGAGGAATTTGATTGGTTGATAAAATATGACGCATTTTAGCCAATCATTTAAAAATAAACTTAAAAGAGGAAACCTTAAAAACACGAGCTATATTTTTTGATGCCAACAAAAATTTCACATTAAAGACAATTTTATTGGGATTAATTGCTGCAAAAATTATTTTCGAGGAACTTATTAATCAAATAATTGTCAAATTGAGAATTAAAATACTTAACTCAGATATTTTGAAGAAACCTAATTTGCGAATCATTATAATACAAGTAAAACACTTTTGTTGAAATTAATATTGTGTCATTATTATATTATGAAAATTCCCTGTAGATTACTAAATATCTGAAAATTTTCTATGCTATGATCAATTTGAACCCAATTTAAAAAGGTTTTATTGTATATTTTCTTCACTTTAAGAATTATTTTTTAATTACTAAATATATTAAATTATAAGTGCTTTAAATAAATAAAGTGTATAAACAAATAAAGCTCGAACTTAGGATATATAAATAAAATATTCATTAATTCGTAATCAGAGTTAGAGTGGTTGAACTAAACTAATAAAATTCTATGTAGATAAATACTGAAAATGAATACATTTATAAGTGAACTATTAACAATAAAATATGTAATTGACTTATCATCTGATCACTTTTATAACATTTTTCGAATAAGATACTTGTTATATAATTATCTGTTGCCACTTGATGTCGTAAAATATAATTCACTTAAAGAGGAATATATATCCTAATGTAAGGGTTCTAACTGCTTCAAAATAATTAACTGTACTTAATCTTCATGATAATGTATCAAAAAAGTTCGTTTATATCAATCTTTCTATAAAGATTTTGTAATGATTATATATTTTGACATCTTTCAAAAGTATCTAAGCACAGATTATTTTGAAATATTGAGTAAAGCACAAAAGTTTGCAGAATTTATATAAATTGATTATATTTATAAATTAGGATTAATATGTAAAAGCTGAGCATATAGAGTTTATAGTTAGCGTAAGCCAATGTTATTAATTATTAGTTCAACTAAAAATCATATTTACTAGAGACTATAAGCATGTAGTTAAAGGCTAACATTAAAAAATGGGTCAAAACTTCTTGCTATTGATTATAGAGGAGATTTGTAATAATTAATGAGTCATAAAAAATTAAAGGAAGTTGTAAAAAAAAAAGAATGCTAGCCTAAAAGTATCTTATTATTTGTTTATACAGTACCGTAAAATCTTGAAATTAAACACTCCTCGAAAATAAGAACTTCTGCTACTTTTGCCATAATGTTTGTAAAAACTAAAAGTAAGCACCTTTGAAAATAAGCACCCCTTTATAAAATAATAGTTAATACGGGTTTTATAAAATAAATAATAAAACAAATTTATTTATAA